TAATGGATCTGTTTGACCTTAAAATCTATGAACCTATAAAATCCCGGCCTCAAAGTCACTGAGTGGCAATGAGTTCCATAGTCAAATCATATTATGTGAAAAAGCTTTTCCTCCCCCACCCCCCATTTCCAAGGTACAACCTCAGGATTCAGTTGATAAAAATAATTATGGACGGGAATATAATTAATGCCAGTCTATATGGTTTTATGGAAAACAGATCTTGTCAAACAAACCTGACATTTTGATTAAAAAATTAGTGCTATACAATATCAATAGAACATGTGTTAAATGGATTAAGAACTGTCTAATTAACAACTGCTTTTTGAAATCTGTCAGTGGGGAATCATCTTTCATGGGAGGTGTTTCTAGTGGGAGAGGGATTGCTATTAAGTTTGATATTATTCAACATGTCTATCAATGATCCAGAAGGAGCTATAAATAGAAAAAATCACTGATAAAACTAGAGGGTGGCAAAAACAGGGACAAAGGTGGTCATATAGGGCAATTTGGACAACTTGGTAATCAGTCTTAATACAGGCAAAAAACCTGTTATATATATAGTATACAGGAACCAGGAAGCCAGACCATTACCCTTGGAAGAGAATTGGGGGGTGGGCCCCTAGGAGTGGCTGAGAAGGTCTTATGGGCTGGAGAGGACAAGAAGCTTAGTATGTGCCTACAGTGTGATCCAGTGGCAAAATAGACTAAAGCAACCTTTGGCTGTATAAACCAGGGACTTGAAAGTAGGAGAAGAGAAGCGACATAACCTTCATACATATTAACTGGTGACCGACCCTGGCATTCTGAACAGTACTTTAGGATCCACATTTTAAAAGGAGGTTGAAAAACTGAAAAGGGTGCAAGTAAAGACACAGAAGAATAAGTAGGGCATGGAGAAAATGCTTCACAGAGAGACTTAAAGAGCTCAAGGGCGTTTTATAATCTAGCAAGAGAATGTCATGATGGGAACCAACAGTTCGGTTTAAGACAGGCAAATTTAACTGAAAGACAAGCCCATATTTCCAACTGTGAGAGCAAATTAACCACTGCAGCAAACAACCAAAGGAAGGTGGACTCTCCATTTCCTGATGCCCTCAAATCCATTTCGGAAAAGACATTACAAGTCAAGCTTATTATTGGGATCCGTACGGGGGAAATGGATGAAGTTTAATGGTCTTCGTACAAGAGGTCACATTTGATGGTCTAATGAGCCCTTCTCGCCCTAAACTGAGAAGGACATGGATTATACTGTTGTTTTGTTGTCACAGAAAGAAAACAGAAGTTCCCAGTCTTCTTTCTTTGAGGGCCCCTTGACACATGCAGGCTAAGGTGCAATGGGATCCACATAATTGAGCTTCTTGTCATGCCACACGTGTGTGGCAGGAGGTATGACTGTGGGATCACGCATTAGATCCCATTGTGCCTTATGACCAGTTTAGGGGGAGCCTAAGATCATGATCCTGGACTTCCCCTGCAGCTGACAGGGCTCGACAGGGCTTGCAGCAGTGGCAGCGGGGAAAATGCTGCCACCACAGAGAGCCTCGTGAAGTGTGGAGCTTGCAGCAGGGACAACGCGGGGGAATGCTGCTGCCGTGAACCCCACACCTCCCACGGCTCTCGGTGGTGGCAGCTTTCATCCTGCTGCCCCCGCTGTGAACCCCACAGCTGAGATGGCTCGTGGGGGGACAGTGTCCTCCTTGCTGACAGCACTGCCACCAGTGCAAGCCTTGTCAGCTGCAGGGCTGATAGTGGATGGCAGCCCCTCAATTGATGGTGCTCCCAGCCACAGGGGAGCAGCTGGCCGCACGTTCAATTAACGGCATGATTAGAACAAGCTACAAAGTTATTACACATTTTTTGTGGAACGATTTTGTAACTTATTGCTTGTTTTATCACACCATTAATTGGTTGAACATGTAGCTGAGTGACAACTTCAAGCGCGATTGATTACCTGGTTAATCCCGCTTGAAGCATAATAAGTAGATGGAGCATAAAATACAGTATATAATGTTTACTGTCTTGTCTTCTCCTCATATGGGGTACTCTCCTGCCTTCTAAGAGGAAACTCCACCCTGACTGCAATGCAAGGACAGGTTCAGGCCATGGGAGGTTGACTAATAAACTATTATTCTCATGTACAGTTAAGGACGTTTTTTTTCAAATCTAGGATTTAGCTCACGTCAGGCTGGAGCTTGGGGTGGTGCCCCTGAAGAGGCAATAAGCAAGGTTCCCTCCCTCCCTGCGTAGGGAAAAGGAAAAGTGGCTAGACTAATCACTGTTCCTGACTTAATCAGAGCAAATAATCTCACTACCTTGTTAGAAGCTCATTAAAGGGAAAAAGGAGAGACAGAAAGTGTCAGATCCTATTTCACCTACTGGGTGTCTAAGTGGTATTTTGCCATCTAAGCCTGATCCTACATGACTGTACTGCAGTTGCTGAAAAAAGCCTTGACATATTTGTTTTGATAACACACCATCTCCGCTTTAAGACTGTGTGCATCTTAAGTCACAGCAAGCAGCAAAGAGGAGACGGGCAGCTCCTCATCCTTTACATCAGTGGCTCTTTGGGGACTCAAGCAGGGTGGAATAGGATTGCGCTTTGACTGTGCCTAGTCCACCTGGGCTTTCTAAGTACTATGTAAATTTTAGACCCTATTTTCACCTGTGCAACTAAACCTGTCCTTTGTCATACTCTCAGAAGGGCTCCTCTACAGCCACTTGCCCTCTGCTGAAATCCTATTCTGTGTGAAAAACTTCGTAAGTTCATGTAGGTCCCCAAACTTTAGTCATCAGACACCACCACTAGCAACTGCTTTGATGGAGAAGGAGGACAATTTATAAATCTGTGGAAATGGCATCTAGTTACTTAGTGCTACTTATGCATTTGCCTTTACATGGCGAAACGGCACTTAGATGCTTAAAGGTGGAATAGGATTTGGGCCTGAGCTGCGTAAGTACTACTTGGATGCCTAATAAGTGAGATGGGATCTAGCCCAAAGTGCCTACACAAAAAGACTGTAGGAGCTAGTAGGTGGGGACATCTTAAGAGAACTTAATATTTTCTCGTTTTTATTTCTTCTGATTTGTGCTTTTCTATTTTAAATAGATTTAAGTTTTTTATGGCTAATCATTATCTGGAGTTCAAAGGTAGACTCCTTGTTCAAGGAAAACTGCTGATTGCCTGATGAAGCACAGTGTAAACTACATCTGTGTAGATCTACATACGTGTGTGTGTGTGTGCGCGCGGCTGTGAATGTCTGTAGGAAAAAAAGAGTGTGAGCATGTGTTTCTTCCTTGTTGAAAGTCTCATGTAGTTTGCTAGGAATTACCTAGACAGCATCTTTTTAGTCACTTGCTTACATTCCTATTCCACTTTTGCCATAAGGTTTTTTTCCCTTCAGTCCATATGATTATAGATTTTAGAACTGTTCAGCAGATCTTCAGCACCAGAGGAGGGAGCGGGGCCCTAATATTTTCTCATATGTAGTTCTCATAGGTGGTTAGCAGCTTTCCTGATGAAAAAAAATCCCTGCACATTCTCTTGTTTATTCCCAAAGTTACCAGTAATTCCTTCTTAGTAAAACTCATCCAGAAAATTGCCTAATAACATAATTTAGAAACTACCTCACATTTAGCATACAGACACAAAGCACTTAAGTTGGTGATTTCTAACCACGGAGTGCACACTTCACTGACACGGTCCAGCCTCCAACGAACTGTTAAACATCTGGAACAAAGATTGATCAAGCACAGCCAACAGCTGGACTTTAAACAGTATACCCAGGAGCAGAGGTCATGATAAATGAAACCACTGTGCTGGCTTAAAAACTTACTTTATAATCTTCTCCAGGCAAAGCATGACTAAAATGCATCTATTTTGGGTGACATCTGGAGAAATGCGAAATTCAGTGTGATCAGGAACTGATTGGCTCAAATGAAAATAATTTGAAAAGGCCATAGACCATTTTAAAAACCGTTCACACTTTAAACTTTGGCCTAATGCTTCCTTCTACAGCACTGACCTTGTCTTCCTACCGTGTAAAAAAAAAAAAAAAAAAATCAATATTGTACAGTACTGCAGTAAAATTTCAGCTTGCTCTTGGCTTACTTTAAATAACTTTATTGTCTCCGTTTCCCTTGTCTGTGTTTGTTTTATTTGGCAGTTGCAGTTATTAAAATGAAACTAAGTTGAAAGAAAATTTAAACATCATAAAAAGAAAGCCAGGAATGCTTCTCGCTCACTTCGCTAAAGCCATGGTCACCTTTACAATTTGCCAGAGCTTTCTATTCCCCAGCTTTCATAGCCAGTTTCATACACATGAAAGCAAAAAAAAAGCAACTTTCCACTGAACTGAAAAATTCCTGCTTTGCAGAGTTAAAAGAAGAGCTTATATAAATAAATAAATAAAATAAATGAATAAAAAACTGGTACCACACCTATTCAGGCATACACAATACTCATACACAGTTAAAACAATAAGTGCATGAGCGATTTTCTTTCGTCTTTAACATTTGCTTGCTTCTCTTGTTACACTACAAATGGCATTCAGGAAAAGACCTCTGCAAGAGTTGTCCACATGGGCCAGCTAAAAAAAGTTATACACTTTGTTGTTTCTCTCTTCTGAGATGTAAAATTATATTACCTATTGCAGGCTGCTACTCTGCCTAGAAAACCCTGAAATCTGTGGACAAATTAGAACAGCCCCAACAGCAAAACTAAGAACAACATGCTACAAGAAAGAAACAGAAAGGAAGCAACTTGTACTACATTACAGGGAACCGATTATTTTCTCCATCTACTCATGGTTCTCTCACAAGTGGAGGGGACCTGGCTACACAGGCTGCATATATGACAGCCAACATGGAAGGAATATGGCAAATTGTCATTGGATTTTTTATTCTCAGTGTCACGTGAATGTGAGGTCTTGGAGGAGGGGGTGGTGCTGCCCCATCTTGAATTTCCTGTAACACGATGTTACTGAAAATATGCAAATTCTTACTTTGGTATTTGCAGCGGCAGATGAGTTGGCCACAAGACTTGTTATCACATCGCTGTTCACTGTGGTGCAAGCAACCGTAGTTGGCGTAGGTAGCCGAGTGGGGACAATTGGCAAAGGCAAAAGCCCTGGTCTGTTGTTGCTATTGCTGTTCACTGTACTGTTGCAATTACTGCTGTTCACATGATTCCCGTTGGAGCTCCATTCTCGGCGATCCCACCCAGTGCGATAATCTCTTTCAAACCGGCTGTGGTGCCGTGACATCTCGGTTGAGTGCAGCAGCTTCTCAAAGGGAACTCGAGAGCTTGCCTAAAATATTTAAGATAAAGAGGTGTTACAAATGATGCCCCAAAACAATAATCTACCATAATAAGCATTAAGGCCAGTCTCGGTGTTGCTTGTTTCACATTATGAAAGAAAGTATTTCACTCCTTTGTCAAGCCAAATATCCAGAGGGGAAATGATGTTTGTGGCAATTTTAATTAAGACTTCAAATGAGTGAAAGGACAACAACTCAAAATGTGTCTGGAGACAAGGGCCCCTCACTTTCTAAGGAACCTCATCCCCCAAGCAATATAGCAGGGTATGAAGCAACAACACATAAATAATGAAAGGCCAAAGCAAAAGCAATTACTACTCAACTTCTCTGATGGTAGAACAATGTTTCCAACAGCTTCCTAATAAGACAGTCTTCAAAATCAGCCCACAAATAAGCTTTTGGAATCTTTTTTGCACCACACCCAATGTTTCAAATGCTCTTTTAAAACATGGATCCCACAAATAGATGCTAAATTCAAATGCTATGCTTAGATTTATAACTTCTATTTGTCTGCATTAACTGTTTTACTGGACCCAACTTATCAAGTTACAAAAATGGCTGTGCAGGACTACACCATCTCCCTTATTATTTACAACTGGCCAATCTGTGTCAGACACAGATTGCATCAACCATGAGCAACTCAAACTCCTAGTTTCTAATCCTAGTTATGACAATTGCACACTGCAGGTGTGTCTACATGAGACGTTTACTCAGAAGCTGATTAATTAGCTCCACAGTAAAATCTCAGTGTCTACATATGGGGCTTTATTAGGTTGCAGTAAACTAATCAATGCTGCCATAAGATAGTGCTTGTAATCACAAGTACTATTCTGAGGCGGCGTTCAGTGCACCGCAATGCACATGTAGACACATCTAGCTAGGGCACGAGGGTGCTTCAATGCTGCCTGCCTGCTAGCCCTACACCGGAGCACCCTCATGCCCCAGCCAGACCCTCTACAGAACAATGAATGGGATCAAAGCAGACCCAGGCAGGCTGGCCCCGGGGCTCCCTGCTAGCCAGGGCTGCTCCAACCCAGCTCACAGTGCTGTAGTCCTGGGTGCACAAGTAAATGTGGTGCTCAGGAACAATAAATGATGATACAAACTGTACGAGAGTTTATGTAATCACATTAATAGCATGTGTAGACACGCCTTGCATGGCCCTGAACAAGTTATTTAATCCTCTTGGCCTTCACTTCCTTATCTGTAAAATGGGGAGAATAATCCTTTCCTTTGAATGCAGTTGGCTAATGTTTGTACAGCACTGGGAAACGAAGACCAATAAATATAAATGCTAAATACATTTACTTGCATGAATAAATCATGGACATCTGGTTCATTGCAGAAACTCATCTACTTGACTTGCATCACAAAATCCAAGTTATTATTTCAAATAATAAAAGTAAAATGATGTCAAACCCATTTGTATTTAAGAATTCATAAAACTAAAAAGGTAGAGGTGCACTGATATGTCAGTCCATATTGTATTGGCACTGATAAAAGGAAAATTGACATTATTGGCAATTGGCTTCTTTTGGTTGATGTGACAGATAATGTCATCGATAAATGCTGTGTGCATGTGCACAGCCACAGCAGGAACATGGCCAGCTTAGCAGCTTGGAAAGCAGCATCTGGCTGCTAAGTCAGTTGAAGGGATGGGGCATGGGGAGGGAAGGAGTGGGTGGGGGGGCAGATCAAGGCCCCTGTGGTAAGGGAGAAAGTTGGGCTGGGACTGGGGCAAGTGCTGCCCAGGTGGGGCAGGGCGATGCATGGGATGAAGCTGTGAGTGGCTCATCCAGGGGACGTGGGAGGGGGCAGCTCCACTGCTGTTGCACCCTGGGGAGGCATGGGGATGTGTGCATTCCAAATCTGTGCACAGGGCAAGGGCAGGCTGTGACTGCAGGCTGGTGCTGGGGGCAGTGCCAGGCTCTTCCCAGCATGGAAACTGGGCTGTGCTCAGGGTGGGTGGCAGCAGCACTGGGAGTGGGGTTCTGGGGGAGGGGGAGCTATGGCCACCCAAAAATTCTCCATAGCCCCCCCTGCAGTTCCCCCTCCCAGTGCCACCACCGCCTGCCCCGAGCACAGCCCTGGCCCAGCCCCCTTGCTGAGAAGAGCCTAGCACTGCCCCTGGCTCCAGCCTGCAGTGGCAGCCCACCCTTGCCCCGTGCACTGATCCAAGGAGCACGTGCCCCTTGGGTCTCCCCAGGGGTACACACAGCATCAGGAGCCACCCCCCACCCACAAGCCCTGGGGATGAGCCGCTTGCGGCTGTGTCCAGCGCCCTGCCCTGCCCAGGCAGCACCTGCCCCTGTCCCAGATCCATTCCTTCCTTCACTGTGGGGGCCTCAATCTGCCCCCCACCACCCCACACCCCTTCCCTCCCCCGCTTCCTCTGAACAGACTTACCAGCCGGATGCTGCTCTCCAAGCTGCCAGGCTGCATATTGGCA